CCCCCCCCCCCCCCCCCCCTCCCCAAACCCAATTTTTTTTCATGAACTCACATACTTTTGCGCATTTTTGCTTTGGATTTCCGATTTGGGCAAGTGGGTCTCAGTTCTAATAGGTGAAATGAGGTAGGCAACCCCGATAAGTGATTTTGTTTTCATGCAGGCATATACAAGTTGTCCAACGGCTCATGAATTAGACAAGTCCAGAGTTATAGCGATTCTAATGCAAAAAATGCTATTGGTGATATCCTAATACCCTTTGCCCTTTGGGGGATCGACAGACCGCTCGACAAACCGCTCGACAAACCGATCGACAAACCGATCGACAACCGATCACCCGAATCGCGGCCTAAAAACAAACACAATCGGGCGATCGGTTTGTACCACGATGGTCGCTTTGCGCCCTCAATCTGGATAGCCTCGCCTACCAAACATAACCGAACAGAACGGAGCCTGTCGTGTCAATGGACACCCTCTAAACGAGGTTAGGGGGCTCTCGTGGCCTAGAGGTTAAGGTGTTGGCCTCTCATTCAAAAGGTCCCGGGTTCGAATCCGGGTAGCGACCGAAACATTTACTTCTCTAAAATTGTCTCCTTTCACCTTCTTTCCTGCTCTCTAGCAATGTTCTGTTGTTTGCTTTCATTTCCACTTTCTGCCCCCACCCCCTCACCTCCTTTGCCCCCTCCTCTGGGCTTCTGACTCTTTCTGCAGCCTTTCTACTGCTACTCCTTGGCTCCTCCTTACTGCTGTCTTTCTGCCACACCCCTGATCTTCTGGTAGGACAGATCTACACCTAGCCTTCTCGGACAAGGGCGAAAAATCTCGGAGGGCCCGTGTGCAAGTTGCGCACGTTAAAGATCCCTTGGTGGTCTAAAATCGATAAGAGTAGGCTTGGGCCGCCACCCGGGCAAAATTCAAAATTTCCTGACAACTGAAAATATTAGGTGTGTCCCGCGCGCTCATATGACCTTATGCAGTTGCGAGCGCCGTAAAACACTTTACAAAAACAAAACAAAAACGAGGTTACTTTACTGACTGCATTTTTACCCAATCGCTTCTAGATGAGAGACAGAAAAAGTACCTTTCTAATGAATGTAAAGTCCCCCGTGGTAAAATAGGAAGTGTGTTCAACAATTCAATGTTATTATTGTTGCTTAATCATACAGGGTAATCAATTAACCGATTTTGAGAGAATCAGATGGAGACAACCACTCAACCACCAGTATGTGTGTGTGTGTGTGTGTGTGTGTGTGTGTGTGTGTGTGTGTGTGTGTGTGTATGTGTGTGTGTGTGTGTGTGTGTGTGTGTGTGATTACATTTTGTTATGTGTGTGTGTGTGCTCATTTGCCATCCAACCTCCAGAAACCAAGCCTCTTTTTCAAGTAACCAAGCCCTTTGCTCAAATAACTGCACTGTATTTATTCACTTCCATGTTATAAAACTACGTCCCCCCCCCCCGCAATCGCTCTAAGGACTGATAACTAACGTCGCATCAGATAACAACCAACAATTAAATAAGATTGAAGATTACAAATAGATGAGGGAATAAAAGAACAGAAAGACATCCACCAAAATAAAAAAAAAAAATACTGATTTTGTTACAGCATCCATCACACACACACAGACACACACACACACACCACTCACCTTTCCAGAGCAAAAAAAAAACATAGGAACAAAAGCATGTACGTTCATTAATAGCGGTTTTGTGAGAGGCCAATGCACGATTATCTATAATTGTTGTCTCTTATAATAAATCTGTCTCATGTTGCTGTTAGTTTTCCATAAAATACAGGCAGTAATTATAGTGTATAAAATCCCAGGTTCCAGAAACCGTTCCTTATCTGTTATTGTTACAAAGCTTCGTCCTCAGACACCATTACCATAAACTGGTTCCATACGCCACTGCTTGAGGAAGTGCATGCCGTTATTGCTCAGTTCGTTGATGTGTGGAATGTGTGTGTGTGTGTGTGTGTGTGTGTGTGTGTGTGTGTGTGTGTGAGTGTGTGTGTGTGTGTGTGTGTGTGTATACATATATATATATATATATATATATATATATATATATGTGTGTGTGTGTCTGTCTGTCTGTGTGTCTGTCTGTCTGTCTGTCTGTGTGTGAAACTGTGTGTATCTGAGTGTGTTTGTGTGTGTGTGTATCTGTGTG